TTGATATCGGAAGCTTTGTTACGTTCACATTGTAAAGTTGAGCGCTGAAGTTGGGCTGTATTTTCTTTACTAATGCTTCTTCTCACAAGGGTAATCCAATTCACAATATGAACTTTCAGCGTCCAGCTGCTAACGTCGACAAAGTGAAGCAGGTAATGGAGCGATTACAAGCGACGCCAACGCCATATGAGTGTTACACGATCGCAGTTAATCATGCGAGAAAGAAAGAGGTGGGATAATCCTCTCAGTGGACGTTATTTTGGTTGCATGGCCCTTGTTTGATTACTAAACTTTCAAGAATGAAGAAAAATCTAAAGAGAACGGAGAAAAGAAACCTGTTCCAACAGCTCAGAAGATGTATACCCATCATGATCCTGCAACGGAACGGCCTGCAGTGTCTTCGGTTTCGGTGAGTTCGTTCTTTTAAACGGACATTTCTTGGATTCAAGTGATTGTGAGTATGCTACCGATGAAAAAGCAGAACAAATTTTTGTTCCAAATTGTATGTCTTTAGTTTGTTTTATACTTGACTCCTTTTTACCCTTGAAAAGCGACCTTTAGGGCATCAACGAGGAAGTGATTGATCTCAGCGATGAAGCACTCGCGGCAAGGGCAGAGTCGTCATTTGCGGACTCCGAAATATTAACGAAAAAAGAGCTTAAACGGAAGAGAAAAATTGTAGGTTTCAACGAGCATTTACCAACATTTGATTCTGCTATATTTGGTATTTGAATGGAGAGTAAGAAGTATCATTCGGTAAAGTTTGATTACTAGAATTTCCGTCGATTTTTAGGCTCGAAAAAATGCGGACATTACAACAGAGCTGCCGAAGGAAGGAAATCCTGCACCTGACAAGAAGCGCACAAAAAAAGGAAAAAAGAAAGGAAATCTTTCTGCTAAAAAGCGCGCAGTGGAAGAGAATAAGACCAATGGAGAACCTCTATGTACTGAAAATCGCATGAAAGTGGATAATAAGGAGGTTTCAACTGAGTTGCCGGGAGAAGAAGGTCCTTCTTATACTGTTAAACGGGTAAAACGGGATGGTGGGGAGGAAGAAGCCAAGTCATTCGACTACTCTCAGTTCGACAAAACTGTTTTCAGTAAGTTTTTTTTCGTTCGGTTCTCTGTCATTACAAGGTTGTTGGGGAGTTTGAGGGAACTTGCTAACTCGGCGTTTTTTTTTTTCTTTCCAAGAATGAGCTCCAATCTTCGTTAACGCGGTTTCTTGATTATAATCGTGTAGAGTAAAATTGAATTATGATTCTAGGAGTTATTCCATGTTCCCCCCCCACCCCTGTTATGAATCACATGAGGGAAGGGATCAAGAAAATTTAGCTGCGAAACTGCAAATGCTTAGCATTAACTTTTCTTGCTTGCATGTCTTTCCCATTGATTTCATAATTAGCTGTCTTTTCTAGTCTTTTGGGGTCCGATAGAGCGTTTAAAAGGATTTTTGGGCTCAGTTTCTTCAACAGTCAGAAGTGTAGGGTCCTCTTCATTAGCCTGGCGCATCTCAACAGGTGTAGAGCGGAAATGGATGGGTTCTTACTTAGGCGCTGTGCATGAGATACTTAATTAATTTAATTCAGACGAGAAACCGTCCGGATTGGATAGTTCGTTCGATCCATTCAATCAAAAACATCGCGTGGAAAACAAGAAGAATTTCCGTCGGCGAGGTCGAGGAGGACTTCACAGAATGGGCACGATGAGTATAGGTTATACACCATCATCAAAGAAATGACTATTTATTTGATCGATTCGATTTAATTTTATTCCTTACTGTGCTAAACATGTTTTGAAAGCTACATTTTATTCTTTTTTATAATGTAGTTGCATGAGATTGATACAGTTTTGTTGCTCATTGTTGGAAATGTTGTTATTGTTGATAAATATTGGATAATACCTCAGAGGTAGGCTTGATTCGATTCTTTTCGAAGGTTTAGTCCTTTTTCCGAGCACATTTTCTCCAATTTTTTTCTTCAATTTCCAATTTTGCACGGCTGTGATTTTATGTTTGATAGAGTTGTATGAATATGCTTACTTCTCTGACTATTGTGGGACACCAGCTCTTGCTGCCCGATAAGGTCTTTTAGAAATACGGGCGCTCTTGTATGAATGAGTAGTTTGTAAAGAGCAGATGACGCTTATGGTTAACGAACCTCACTCTATAATGAGTATTCATTCGAATTTTGATAGAGTCTGGTACCTGTCGAACGGCTGCAAAGAAAAGAATTGATGATTCGGTTGCTGGGCTTACGAAAGAAAGGAGTCGTAGATGTACAGGCACTGCCCATTGTATCACTGATACCTTCTCGAAAAATGGCCGTCTAGATTGAGAAATGGTTTTTATAATTCGATGTAAGCAGTGTTCTAGTGATGTGTTCTACTGGCCGACTACGCATAATGCGATGTGAATTGGGTTATATACGACGAGCTGATGGTTCTTGCTCCTACTCTCAAGGGAGAACTTCGCTTTGGGCGAGCTGCTCCGGTCCAGGTCAGTTTCCGTGGATTTCAACTGGAATTTTTAAAACATTGTTTTGTAGTTTGACTGTAATGATTAGACTCAGTTAAAGAGGACAGTGGTCGAGGTAAGGTCATGTGGGTCGTCTAATAGACGAAGATTATCGCTGAAGAGTTTTTAGAAACATTCACAGTGGGTAGATTAGTGGGGAGCAGTAGTGTTTAGTGAAAACTGGATGGGAGAGAGTGAACATTTTGAGGTGGTGACTGCTCGATTATAGTGTAAAGGGATATTTCGGGCTCCTCTCTTCCGCTTTCCATACATATACTGGTGAAATTCTAGGTGACATTCATGTTGCTCGTCGGGAAGATGAACAAATGCATCTTGATGTAAGTTTCCGTCAACTCACTGGGGATTGTCAATATCATAAGGTAAGTCAGTTTCTATGGTTGTGCTTGAAGTGCCGATAACTGTTCTTTATTTTCTTATTTAAAGCTCAACAATATACTTCAATACACGCTGGAGTCCGTACTGGATTTGACGATGTTCCCTAGGACAGGATTGACCGTAAGATTTTTCGTCATTTCTCGAGTGGTACATGTTGTGCTGCAGATTAACAATAATTACAGTTGACTGTACATCTTCTTCAAGCCGATGGGAGCGTCGGTGGAGCTGCTATCACAGCTGCAGGATTAGCGGTGTTGGATAATGGAATATCAATAAAGTAAATTCACACTTTCGGAGTATTTCTTCGTTGGGTTGAATTGTGTTCTGAAAGATTTAGGTTATCTTCAGTCACTAACGCTTGAACTCACTTGCAGAGCTCCTTTCTGCGGCGTAGAGGTCTGTCAAGTTGATGGGAAATTGGTGTTGGATGCAGATGCCAGAACCCAAGCGAGAGCAGAAGCTAACTGGCTGTTTGCCTTCACTAGGACAGCAGATGTAAGTTGGCTTTCAATTAATGTCGTTCACTGAACTTGATTGCGAAAGTATTCTTGACTTAGTGCTGTTAAGGCTCATCCAATTCCCTAGACAACTGACGAATTACCTTTTAATCCACATGTTAAACATGCTTATCGATTGCAGTCTTCCTCTTTTCTTTGTGCCCATGTTGTGCAGCCAAGACGAATGGCTACAAAGTCACAGATTATGGGCAGCTCGAGTTAGGAACCTATAGCAGACCTAACTGACAGCGTTCCAGGGTAATGCTCAAATGAT